ACATCAATTTAGCTGAAAGCAATTTAGTGAAAGCTAAAGAATTCGGTGCACTAGAAAGGATGTGTTTACTGTGTTTATTGAGCACAAAGATAGCAAGTTTAGCTAAACAGTTAGCTAAACAGTTAGCTAAACAGTTAGCTAAATGGTTAGCTAGACAGTTAGCTAATCAGTTAGCTAAACAGTTAGCTAAACAGTTAGCTAAACAGTTAGCTAAACACGTACACCAGAAAGAGTGGGTTTTTTCGAGCACAAAGAACAGACCATTCTATAAAAGTTCGCAACTTTCGAATAAAGTTAACGGAAAACTTTCAAGCTAAAAGTGTTTACAATGATCAAAAAAGTAAAATAGAGTGATTTTTCATGTTTTGTGAAAAAGGGGAAAAGGTGAAGGGTTGTTATTGACCAGTTTGAAAAAATGAAGTGAGACGAGCACTTTGGTGATAAACAAGAGAGGGGGAGGGGTGAAATGAGCTGTGATCAATAGAACACGTAAACACAGCAAAGAATTGCCGATTGTTTGTTAAAAATTATCGATGGGCTGCTCTAAAAAAAGAGTTGTGTCTTGTAAAAGTTGTTATCGGTTTTCTTTTTTGGTTTGAAATCGTGCAAGTGTTCAATCGATTTGAATTCAAAGGAAAACCCTGGTCAAAGAAAAAAGATGCGGAAAATGAGGACAAATGGCTCGATCTCTTTTCCTTTTCATTTTTTTGCCCCTTCACCTCAAAAATCGGGAACAAGAGCACAAACCACTGGATTTTCATGTTCTCCCGTGTTAATCGCGAGGAAAACACTACAATACACAAATCGTGAACAACATCGAAGCCCTTGCCTTAAACCAAATCGAAAATTTCTCAATCAAAGAGCCCAACTCTTCAGCATTCTATCCAATCGCTTATCCGAGATGAAACAAATCGAGAACGGGTACACATTCAGTCTCACCAATCCGCCCGATTTCAAAAAGTTTGACACAAACGAGGAGAGGGCTTTCCCCAAAGAAGTCACCAATTTTGCACAAGAATGCCCCGAGCTTCGAGAATATCAACACTATATGGTTGATCGAATTTTGTTCATCGAAGATTTATTCAAATCAAATAATAAATTAGAAAAAAAAGTGCCGATCAAGAATACAATTGAATAGAATAAGCAAAAATAAAAGAACACAATTAAGATTAGAATAAACAATACTAAAATTCACCAAATTCATCTTCCTGGGTCGCCATTTGCTTTTCGTTTTGCCGTTTTGACAGACGTTGACGAATCTCTTCGATGCGCCCTTGACGGTCTAAATATTGATTCTCCAGTTCGATTAAAAGTGATAAAATACCTTCTCTATCATTTCTATCATAATAGTTCTTTTGATTTCTTGGACGTGTTTCTTCATAGTCGTCTTCTAACTCCTCAAATTCTTCTTCTGCCGGATGCTCAACCGTATATCTAAACCATCGACATTAGAGAAAATAGTTCTCGGAAACCTGGGACTCGTTGTAACAGAGTTTCTCTTTTTATCCGGTCTAGGCGGAAGATCGAACACCGAATGGATTGGAGTACGTTGTATTGAGACAAACATTGACTCGGGATTATCTGTAATAAGACGCAATTTTAAAATAAAATCAAGTTACCATTGGCCCATAAAGATTCCACAATTCCAGCATCCGAACTCAAAATTTGCTCTAACTTTGGCGAAAAATTTCTCTGCTCTCCAGCCATTATCTAGAAAATTATATTTGGAACATTTTTAAAAATGTTACCTTATTAGTTCCTCGATTCTTTGCTGGCGCTCCTCTTCCCTCTTGACATGCAGTACTAAAACACATTTATAAATTCAAGGAGGATATCTGCAGGAAATATACCGATTATGTGATGTATCGTGGTGAGCGCTTATTGTTTCTTGAACGCTGACTGACGAAAGATTCAAGTTTGCTCTTTTCTTGTCAGTGAGTAGATCTAAATCAAAAATTGAATAAGCAAGTCATAAAAGAACGGTACTGACCAATCACTTGTCCTTGTAACTTGACGATCATTTCGTTTTGCTGGGCATTCTTTTTCTTTAGTTCTTCCATTTCTTCTTTCAATGAAGCCACCTGAAATAATACTTACATCACAAGTATCATAGAAATAACCTCTTTCTTTAATCCAGTAATTTCTCGCTGGTTTGCTTCAAAACTAGGCCGCCAATCAGTGATATTTTTGGTGCTGGAAGTTCCGTGCATACGAGCATTTGTTTGAAGAGTTACCTAAAACAGAATTTTACAAATAGTCAATTAAATAACTGAAGAAACCTTCGTTTGAGGAGCATTTTCTTTGTTCTCCTGCGTTTTCTCGGCAGCTGGTTGATGCATCTCCATTGTGGTCGCAGTTTGAGGTTGACGAACAAGTTGAAATCCTCTTTGAAAAGCCGCAATGTCATTGGGAGCCTGCAAACCGGGGTACAGTATGTATTGTTATGGATATGCTTGCGTCCTCCATATACTACAACATTCAATTCAAATTAGTTCGTTAATTTACTTTCAGGTATTTCCCAAAAATAACCTCAACAGTCTGAGACACGTTTGTTGTCCGTCCGAATGCAACCGTCTTTCGATGTCTTCCGGGATGATCTTTCGTCACTTGAGGGCCAACTTTTTGGTACTAAAAAAAATGTTTAGTTAAATCAATAAGGCAAACATTTCTGTAAACGTCTTTTTCCCTTTGATTTGCTTGTTCTAAGATCGTTGGCAGCTGCACCGTCTTGTTGTTCTCCAGATTCTTCGGGGAACTAAAATCAAAATAGTAATATTATAAACGTTTCATAGCTACTCGTTTGACGTCTCGCTTTCGGAAATGGTAACCGAATCGTTGTGCTCAATTACGGGAGAAACAAATCGCACTTCTTGTGGTACAACTAAATCTTATTTGAATACCTTTTTTACTTGTTGGACCTTCGTTTGTAGGTAGTGTTACTGTTAATGGTTGAATGGGGTTCCAAATCGGTAGATTAACTAAAACAGTAGATAAACTAAAACTAAAACACTAAAAATCATCATCAACCCGGCGAATGAGGCGAAAAGAAACTCTGATTCACCTGTATGTTGCTGAAAGTGAGGCGTACGATACATAATAGACAGAGGCGACGCGTAAACCCCATTATCCATCTGATTTTCTGTGAAATTACAAATTATATATCCAACATCGGATAAAAAAAGATAACGTCTTGGGATAAACTTTTCAACCGAAATTGCAACTTATTTTTATATAACAACCTTCATTCGTATTGAATAAGCTTTGCTGCCTCAAGTTGATCAAGCAAAACACAATGAAGTAGTAAATAAGAACACGTAAACAGATAAGAGAAAAGAGAGTCAGTAATTGCTTTGAAATTTGAAAGCGATCCTAGGGCAAGTTTAGAGTGAAATAAGCGAGATAAGGATAAATAAAGGGGGGAGATGTCTAAAATCCAAATACCCATATTCACGTTTGACTTATTTGGTAATTTCTTTGGGGTTTCAAAAACATTTGCGCGGTGAAATGACGGACAAATATGGTAGCAGTTCCGCACTTGAGAAAACACTTAATAAGTTTTTGTACATCATAAGAAATTAGTCTAAAAGTCTAAAAATAGAATTTCCCAAAGAGAAAGGGGGTAGGCTAATTTCCGCAACAGGGTCATTTGCGCAACTCGCCATAACTTTGTTCTAAGTGGTCCAATCTTTATGATTTTGGTGTCATTTTGTAGATCCGAATAAGTGCAACAAAATGAAATCAAAATCAGAAAGATTGACCGATTTAGAAGAAAGTTATGGTGAGTTGCGCAAATAAGATGATCGAAATTAGCCTACCCCAAGAGAAAGAATTCCTCTGAAATGGCGGACAAATAGGGGTACGGTAGGAGGTTCGCACTTTAGAAAACACTTAAATTAACAAATAAATAATCTGGGGGAAAGTTGAACGATTAAAAAAAAATTTTATTCGTCCAACTTTAATCGATGAATTAATTGATCGCAGGGAACACTCTCTAATCCACAGTAAGGCTATTGGGAATATATAGTGTGCGTGAAAAGTTCTGTCCCCTCTCCAAAGATCATCGTTTCTTTAGACAAAAACAAATAAAAAAGAGGCAAACGAAAAACGACATCAAATTTGAAATCTTTGGCTATTTTACCCTAAGAATGCTTTTTCTTAAAAAGATCTTTTAACTTTAAACTTTAAAAAGATTACTTGCGGAACTCATTTCCTTTTTTATTTGCCGGGCTACCATCTCTAATTCTAATTGATTTTATATCTTTTTCACATAAAATCATTTCCCTTTAAAACCAGCCGTTTTACGGTCATATTAGTTAAGAGCTCGCCATTTTTAAGCATCGTTAAAATTTTCGATCGCGCTCGATAGCTTTCGATCGCTCAAAAGGGCCAGAATGTCAAAGAAGCCAGGAGAGTCCGTGGGCAACCAAAAAACCATTCAACAAAAAAAAACGGGATTTTCAAAACAAAAATCTTTTTATAAAGAAGCATTTCTAGGATAAAAAAAGTCAAAATTCTCCTTTAAGAGCGTCGCGTAGTCTAACTTTAAACGCATTTTTCTCGCCACCTGTTTATGCTACAAGGCGCGTTTAAGTATCCAATGAAAGCTGAAATTCAGGGCTATTTTTTGATACCAAACATGCATTTATAGAAATTATGGGCGCTTAGAAAAAAATGAGGGACTAGATCAAAAGAGCGCCAATACAGTTCTAACCGGTTTAGAACTGTACAATAAAATTGGATAAGAAAGTTAGAAAGTTTGTTAATGCTTGCTTGCTGACACTGCTTTTGCTTGTCTGCTTTAGTGTTTTATTAGGTTTTGATTTGATTTGCTGAACAATTTGCTTTTTGTTTCACTAGAATTTTTCGTTTCGTTCTTATCAGCGAAAATTCTCGATACCAATCGATTTCGAGGCAAACTTGATCGACAAGCACAAGCCCTGTATTGGATTTTAGAACAAGAACAAGCTTTTTTTTGTTTGTTTCCTGATTTTCTTTTTCAAATGACTACAACCTACGAGTTTATTGGAGGCGGCGGGTTTGGCCACGTTCGACTGCAACACCATCAACATCCGTAATCCATTTCCTATTCTGCTGTACTAACTGATTTATTTTACACTCAAACCCCTCAATACTTCCTCAATTTTCAGTCCACTCGCGGAGAAATTGATCCCGAAAACGCGGAACAAGTCGTGCATGCGAACAGCGGTGGAAAGGGAATGCCGAGCTCTGGAACGCCTCAGACACCCAAATATTGTCGGTTATTATGGTTTTTACGAAGAAGTCAACTTTTTTGTCATCAAGATGGAACTCTGCAAGAGGGGCGGTTTGAATCAGGGTGAGTACTGTTGTATACGTACATTTTCCATGTGTTTCCCTGATATTCTTGATGTTGATCATACAATTTAATCCTTGTTTAGCTTTAAAGACGACACGTAGTAATTATTAATCAATCTAAACGAAAAAAAAAACGAAACAATTAAAAATTTGATTAAACCTTTTAAAATTCCCACGTGGTAGTCGATTACAATCTTGTCCAGATATGTAGATTTAAGCACGTTTCATCAAATTAATGCCAATGAAACAGCAATTTGATCTAAAGCTTCACAATCTGAACAAGAAAAAAAAAGAGTAATCAAAAACTACCTTTGAGTGTAGATGTTGCTCGCTAGTTGTTTCCTTGATATCCTTGATGTGAACGATCCAATTTCATTCGTTGAAGAAGTTGATTTAACAATTCATTTAAACAGGCCGGTACTTGTGGAGTATCCGGGGGCTATTGAATATTGGAAGACCCCGGGGGTAAAATTTCAATATCCGGGGGTAAAATTTTATATACGTTATACACGACCCCTTTTAAAGATATTCAGCCGCTTAAGTGATTTGGTGGCAAATTCCCTTCAAGTGTAAAGATATTCAATTTATTCGAGGTGATTACTTGATTACGTGATTCGAGGTGATACTCGATCAAAAACGTAACTTCTACAAAATTTTTTGTCATTATTAAATTATTATTAAATGTCATTTGTCTTCTACAAAATGTCATTATTAGAAATGTTGATAATATCCTAGTTGGCGGGTCATTTTTTTTCTTCAAAAACATTTTTTGAGCTAGTTTTATGTGTTGATGTGGGTCCGGCAGATGCCCAACCCACACATACCCCCGGATCTGAAAATTTTACCCCCCCCGGATACTCCACAAGTACCAACAGACCAAATATTGAGCGATCCTTTTTAAAAAACAAAATTTCGACAACGAATTTGACGAAAGAGAAAGAATTCCTCTGAAATGGCGGACAAATAGGGGTACGGTAGGAGGTCCGCACTTTAGAAAATACTAAAGTTAAAAAATAAATAATCTGTGGGAAATGATTTAAAAGAACTATTCTATTCCCAACAAGTACGAGGAAAGCTGGTACCTTTTCAGTGTTGGCCGATCGACGCGTCACCTATAGTGTGAGAACGGCTCTGTGCTGGTGTGAGCATTTGTTCTCATCGTTGAACTACCTCAAACAGCAGCAAATCATCCATCGAGATATCAAGCCGGCAAAGTGGTTGAACATAGAGATTTTGAATTTGCATTTAACATACCGTAAACACTGTAATAGTACCCCACCCCCATAATGACGGTGCGGAGCGTTGCGTAGTCTAGCTTTGAACGCGTTTTTCTCGATACTGGTTTATGCTACAATGCTCGTTTAGGTATCAAAAAATAGCTGAAATTCAGGGCTATTTTTTGATACCAAACATGCATTTATAGAAATTATGGGCGCTTTGAAAAAAATGAAATACTAAAAAGCGACTAAAACTTTTGCGACTACGCGAGTGTACGAGGGGGAGATGGGGGACTATTACAGTATTTACGGTAGGAATCATTTTCCAAAAGATGGACACTTTTTTAGCTATAACTTTAGCGTTTTCGTCTCCAACGAATTCCATCTGAAAATCGGGGATTTCGGCTGCGTGCTTCAGTTTCACTCGCACGAACCGGAGACCTTTGTCGGCACTTTTCGATACATGAGCCCCGAGATGTACAATCGTCGACAAGTCATGAGAAATAGTTAATGAGAACTTTTGTTTTTAGATTTCTCACAAATGCGATCTCTACTCGACAGGGCTCGTCATTTGGGAGATCGTCGAAAGGAAGTGGGTTTTAAGCTTGAATTCATTTTAACTTACAATCAAAATGTATCCATTAATCAACGATTAATCGATTCAAATTTTCATTGTCCAACTTTAATCGATTAATTGATTGCGGGGAACACTCTCTAATCCACAGTAAGGCTATTGGAAATCTACTTGGTTATTCGATTTTAGACTACAATTGTACAAGTCAAGAAATCGATTGCATTAAACCGTTTTACTATTAGGGTGGTGCAAAAGAAACTGCCGATTTGACGGTAAATTTAAAAAAAAGATGGCGTTCGATGGTGACATGATCACAATGGAATATTTTCGCAAGATCTCGAGCAGATTGGCATGGATCGGCCTGAATAACGTCCCTCAGCTTGGCTTCGTTCACGACTTTTGGCCTCGAACCGTGCTCGTAGTCTTCCAAAGTCTCGTCTCCCTCTCTTGAAACTAAGTCTGACACTGCCTGAGAGACAAAATGCCATCTCCGAAAGCAGCACAGAGAGAACGATGCGGTTCGGCAGCAGACTTTCCAATTTTGAAGTTAAACAGTAATGCTGCTCGTAGTAATGCTGCTCGTAGTAATGCTGCTCGTAGTAATGCTGCTCGTAGTAATGCTGCTCGTAGTAATGCTGCTCGTAGTAATGCTGCCGTAATGCTGCCGTAGTAATGCTGCTCGTAGTAATGCTGCTCGTAGTAATGCTGCCCGTAGTAATGCTGCTCGTAATGCTGCTCGTAGTAATGCTGCTCGTAGTAATGCTGCCCGAGTAATGCTGCTCGGTAATGCTGCTCGTAGTAATGCTGCTCGTAGTAATGCTGCTCGTAGTAATGCTGCTCGTAGTAATGCTGCTCGTAGTAATGCTGCTCGAGTAATGCTGCTCGTAGTAATGCGCCGTAGTAATGCTGCTCGTAGTAATGCTGCTCGTAGTAATGCTGCTCGTAGTAATGCTGCTCGTAGTAATGCTGCTCGTAGTAATGCTGCTCGTAGTAATGCTGCTCGTAGTAATGCTGCTCGTAGTAATGCTGCCCGTAATGCTGCTCGAGTAATGCTGCTCGTAGTAATGCTGCTCGTAGTAATGCTGCTCGTAGTAATGCTGCTCGTAGTAATGCTGCCTGTAATGCGCTCGTAGTAATGCTGCTGGTAAGCTGCTCGAGTAATGCTGCTCGTAGTAATGCTCCTCGTAGTAATGCCCTCGTAGTAATGCTCCTCGTAGTAATGCTCCTCGTAGTAATGCTCCTCGTAGTAATGCTCCTCGTAGCACAAACTTTTGCTCGACCATGATCTAAAGAAAAAATAAAAGCATTTTTAAATAAAATAAACAACAACCAAAAAATTCAAATGTCGAAATAAATAGCAAACAAATATGCGAACAAAACATAAAAAAATGCCGTTAGCATCACTCGTTTCTGATAAATGAGAGCTGATACCCATCGGCATTTTCTTTTGCACCACCCTAATAGATTACACTTGTACAAGTCAAGAAACCGATTGCATTAATTCTAAAACGATTCTAAAACATCCCCAAAAGCTACCGTAATTTATTTTCTTTAGATTCATTTTCTTTTTTTTAGACTCATTATTTAAATCCTAAAAATAAGCTTACCTAAAAAATTTTCAAATTTTCAAATTCCAATTTCCCGAACTCCCTCAAAATTGCAGGATCGTCTTCAGTCTCTTCACCGAAAAACACTCAAGTGCCCCAGTTGATAGGGAAGAGTTTCGTCACTCAGATTTCTTCGGAATCGCTCGCGATGACGAAATGACGCCGATTCAAGAGCCCGAATGTTTCGATGATCTGAAATTGTTGATCAAGCAATGCGTCGACTACACACCGCAGAATCGGCCCGAGCCGGAGCAGGCATTAGAGATTGTGAAACAATTGCAAAGGGTTAGTTCCGTTGGTACACTAGTATTCATTTTCAATTCCGAACTACCTTTGTCAAGACAAAATTGTCTATCAGGATGAATTTATTGGGTTGGTGGGTATGAAATGTCGCTAAAAATAAACTGATTTCTTCAATATAAATCATTTTAAATGTTCTTCATTATTTTGGGATGATTTGAGCTCTGCCTCGGATACTGCTCTGATAGCTCTGAGCTTTGATACTGCCAAAGTCCCGTAGAAAATTCTTGGTTTTGATGCCAACCAATCCGTGAGCCACTTTTTTGATATCATCTTCGGAATCAAAGATTTGTTGACCAAATCATTGCCCATCGTCTGGAATCAGTAATCAGATGGTGCAAGATCTGGGCTGTATATAGGCCATCACCTCCATCACATTTTGAGTGAAAGGACTTGCCAGAAATGCCAGACATGATTTCGACATTTTCGTGAAGGGAATGAGAGCTTGCAAGTACCTATCAGCAGGTGCAAGATCAGATATCAGATCAGATGTATACCGGATAGGCCATCACCTCCCAACCATAGGATCTTTTCTCTGGCTTAGGCTTAGGCTTGGACTTAGTGCGAAGGCTAGCGGCTAGCGCCTAGCACTAAGTCTATTTGGGTTTGGGCTGAACCCCCATTTTCTGTTAGGCTTAGGCTTGACTTTTACGCGGTCTATAATTACTATACTTTTTTTCTTGACTTTATTTGGCTAACTTGTTCAATTGCTCGGAGTATTTGATTTAGTTAAGTGTTGTCTTATTATCCAAAAGTTTCCAGTAGTCTTTCCAGTAGATAGACTCTTTCAAATCCCAGAACACCGAGAGCGTAAACTTCTTCTCATGCACATTTGAATATGCAAAATTTCGAAATAACAAAAAGTGAGGAAGTCCGGTTTCATTGTTTTTGGAAAAGTTTTTTGTCTTTATCAGTTTCACAGTAACAGCCCCCACCTCTTGTTTATGAGTTTAGGGATCAATCAGAAAAATAGCAACATTTCATACCCAACAACCCAATACTTGCAGAACTTGAAACCTGAAAAAAAACAAAAAAACAATCTGACACTAACTCAAAAGACTTCTTCTCATCCTTCTTCTCAAACCCGCAAAATTCTAGACGATGCCCGTCTTCGACTTCTACGTTTTCGAGCCAAAAATTCACGAAAACGAGGAAATCCTCCGACGACCGCTTGGCATCTTTGGAAAATATGAAGAAGAGGGTGGATTTGTGCTCGAAACACAAAAATCCCATATGAGTGCTGAAAATCTGAAAGGATTAACTGTACCCGATGGGCTCTCCCTGACTCCCGATGGAACGAATTCTTCGAGTTCAACTGACTCTGAACTCACACATCCAAGCAATTCAAGTTCGGATCCAAGTTTTGAAGTCCATCCAGGTGATAGGGTTCAAAAAGTAGCAAATTTTGCGAACAATCCAAAAGAAATGTGTTTCCCAGCAGACAACGCTTCGCATAAACCGCATTTTCTCATTCCCGGTCAACCAAGTCAAATCCCACCGGCAAGCAAACAACAATTCACCGCACCAGCTCCCCGACCGAGCCCCACCGCCTACCCAAGTGGCATCTATCAGCCGAGATTTGACCCAAAACCCGAGCCAAATCAAGTTCATCAAGTTCGCCAACTTCAAAATATCCAACCTCCACCGACAAGCAAACAACAATTCATCGCACAAGCTCCTCGCCCGAACCCCACCCCGTACCCAACTGTCATCTATCAGCCGAGTTTTGACCCGAGACCCGAGCCAAATCAAGTTCGTCAAGTTCAAAATATCCAACGTCCATCGACAAGCTCATATCAATCACCAAATAGATCTATGGAGCGCAATCATCAACCAACTAGTCCACAAGTGCACCAAGTCCGAAACATGTCCAACAATCAGTCTCATCCGGTCCCCAATCTGCAACAAGACCCGTTTCCCCAAAAAATCCACCAGCCCGGTTGCCGCTATTATCGCGAAAGTCAACAATCCGAAAACAGCGAAGAAAATTTTCTCGAAACACAATCATCCGATGATCTCGATGATCAGGATTCCGATTCAGAAAGCCCAAACGATTTGAGCCGTCTGTTGAGAAGACAAATCGAGAATGGGCAAGCGAGACAAGATTCTTTCTTTCAACAACCTCAAACGAATCTCACCCATCCACCAACTCGCTATCCGCAGCATTTACTCGACTCACTCAATCGAATCCCATCCAGGCAAATGCAAAACCAAGAACACGATGGGCTTATCCAAAAATTGACCCTAGGGCTTCAAAATCTCATGAGCTACTTCAACGAGGACCAGGATCAGCATTTCCTACAGTACACAAATCGTGAACAACATCGAAACCGTTGCGCTAAACGAAATCGAAAATTTCTCAGTCAAAGAGCCCAACTCTTCAGCATTCTATCCAAGCGCTTATCCGAGATGAAACAAATCGAAAACGGCTACACATTCAGTCTCAGCAATCCGCCCGATTTCAAAAAGTTTGCCACAAACGAGGAGAGGGCTTTCCTCGAAGAAGTCACCAATTGTGTACAAGATTGCCTCGAGCTTCGAGAATATCAACACTATATGGTTGATCGAATTTTGTTCATCGAAGCCTTGTACGAGCTCTTTCAGACAGTGCTCATCGGTTTGTACCGGGTGAATAAATGTCAGGCTCGTCTCAATCCACAATGGATTCAAAATATGTTAACTAGATGTGATTTGCTTGATCTAGAACAAATCGTTCATTGTAAGGGTTTCAACTTTCGAACAGCCGCCGACCGGTGTAGTCGAATTTTCTACGTCTTACAGGAAAACTTTATCGATCAGGGTCGAGAAAAGTGCATCTTGATGCAGGATGATTTCAAGATTGGAGACCCATTTGTCGAACAATTTCGCCTCTTACAGCCTATTCCATCACAACCCATTACCCTATCGAAGATTCGCGCACTTCTACAAACTTGCTCAACCTTGAATTTTCTTTTATAAACTGATTTTCCCAAGAAAATACTTTTACGAACTTTTATAATGAACGAGTTCACGAATATTTATCTAAATCACATAATAAATTACCAAAGAGCGAATAGAATAAACAAGAACACAAGAGAACACAATCATAAATAAAATAAACCGTACTAAAATTCATCAAATTCGTCTTCCTGGCTTCGCGTTTCGTTGCCAGACGTTGCCAAACGTTGTCGAATCTCTTGGATGCGCCGTTGACGATCTAAATATTGCTTAAAGTTGGATTAAAAGTGATAAAATACCTTCTCTATCATTTCTATCATAATGGTTCCTTTGATTTCTTGGACGCATTTCTTCATAGTTGTCTTCTAACTCCTCAAATTCTTCTTCCGGCGGATGCTCAACCGTGTATCTAAACCATCGACATTAGAGAAAATAGTTATCGGAAACCTGCGACTCGGTGTTACGGAATTTCTCTTTTTATCAAGTCTAGGCGGAAGATCGAACACCGAATGGATTGGAGTACGTTGTACTGAGACAACCATTGATTCGGGATTATCTGTAATAAGAAGCAATTTTAAAATAAAATCAAGTTACCATTGGCCCATAAAGATTCCACAATTCCAGCATCCGAACTCAAAATTTGCTCTAACTTTGGCGAAAACTTTCTCTGTTCTCCAGCCATTATCTAAAAAAAATTATATTTGGGACATTTTAAAAAATGTTACCTTATTAGTTCCTCGATTCTTTGCTGGCGCTCCTCTTCCCTCTTGGTATGCAGTACTAAAACGCATGCGTAATTTCAAGGAGGATATCCGAAGGAAATATACCGATTATGTGATGTATCGTGGCGAGCGCTTATTGTTTCTTGAACGCTGACTGACGAAAGATTCAAGTTTGCTCTTTTCTTGTCAGTGAGTAGATCTAAATCAAAAATTGAATAAGCAATTCATAAAAGAACGGTACTGACCAATCACTTGTCCTTGTAACTTGACGATCACTTCGTTTTGCTGAGCATTCTTTTTCTTTAGTTCTTCCATTTCTTCTTTCAATGAAGCCACCTGAAATAATACTTACATCACAAATATCATAGAAATAACCTCTTTCTTTAATCCAGTAATTTCTCGCTGGCTTGCTTCAAAACCGGGCCGCCAATCAGTGATATTTTTGGTGTTGGAAGTTCCGTGCATACGAGCATTTGTTTGAAGAGTTACCTAAAACAGAATTTTACAAATAGTCAATTAAATAACTGAAGAAACCTTCGTTTGAGGAGCATTTTCTTTGTTCTCCTGCGCTTTCTCGGCAGCTGGTTGATGCATCTCCATTGTCGTCGCAGTTTGAGGTTGACGAACAAGTTGAAATCCTCTTTGAAAAGCCGCAATGTCATTGGGAGCCTGCAAACCGGGGTACAGTATGTATTGTTATGGATATGCTTGCGTCCTCCATATACTACAACATTCAATTCAAATTAGTTCGTTAATTTACTTTCAGGTATTTCCCAAAAATAACCTCAACAGTCTGAGACACGTTTGTTGTCCGTCCGAATGCAACCGTCTTTCGATGTCTTCCGGGATGATCTTTCGTCACTTGAGGGCCAACTTTTTGGCACTAAAAAAGGCATGTTTAGTTAAATTAATAACAAAGCAAACATTTCTGTAAACGTCTTTTTCCCGTTGATTTGCTTGTTTCAAGGTCGTTGGCAGCTGCGCCGTCTTGTTGTTCTCCAGATTCTTCGGGGAACTAAAATCAAAATAGTAATATTATAAACGTTTCATAGCTACTCGTTTGACGTCTCGCTTTCGGAAATGGTAACCGAATCGTTGTGCTCAATAACGGGAGAAACAAATCGCACTTCTTGTGGCACAACTAAATCTTATTTGCATACCTTAAAAACTACGAAATACCTTTTTTACTTGTTGGACCTTCGTTTGTAGGTAGTGTTACTGTTAAGGGTTGAATGGGATTCCAAATGGGTAGATTAACTAAAACAGTTATAATGTTCTTTAATCCAGATCTTTCATCCAAAAAGAAAATCGGATTCACCTGTATGTTGCTGAAAGTGAGGCGCGCGATATATAATAGACGGAGGCGACGCGCAAACCCTATTATCCATCTGATTTTCTGTGAAATTATAAATTACATATCCACCATCGGATAAAAAAAGATAACGTCTTGGGATAAACTTTTCAACCGAAGCCGCAACTTATATTTATGTAACAATCTTCATTCGTATTGAATAAGCTTTGCTGCCGCAACTTGATCAAGCAAAACACAATGAAGTAGTAAATAAGAACAAATAAGAGAAAAGAGAGTCAGTAATTGCTTGGAAATTTGAAAGCGATCCTAGGGCAAGTTTAGAGTGAAATAAGCGAGATAAGGATAAATAAAGGGGGAGATGCGGCCTAAAATTCGAAATACCCATATTCGCCTTTGACTTATTTGGTAATTTCTTTGGGGTTTGAAAAACATTTGCAAATTTGGAAAAACAATCAGACAAAGACAAACAAAAGCAACCTAGAAAGAATAAAGCCTAGCAAACAACATAGAATATATTCTATAACAAGAAACAATTAGGTGAGAATTTGTTCGGCATCGTCGCTATCGTCCAAATTTGGAAAGGCAACTGGCTTTGTGGAGACTCTTGTTGGCGTTGGAGCCGAATCGTCGTTGTCGGAAATGGAAAATGACGTCTTCTAAAGGAAAATGCAAACAAATGGGTAAAACAGCTTAGTATTCTTAAACAACTCGACGTGCAAGATTACAATAATAAGATTTGATTGATCTAGAAGTTACCTTTGGAGTCTTTGCAAAGATTGGCCTTGGTTTGAGTTTCCTGATTAGAATTGATCGAGCTGACGGCCGAGGCTTGTTGCGACGAGATTTGTGCTGTTGAAAACGTCTCAAATCTGCCGAGAAATTCTTGTCGTGCATTGCCACATAACCACTTGGCGTGCAAAGAGTCTGTACAAAAGTAAAACTTGTTTTATGAGCCAAGCTTACCTTCATTTGATCGGATTCCGCTGACTTGTCATTCCAAATTCCTTTGTATCCGGCAGCGAGAACGTAGATTTCAGGATAGTCGACGTGGGGATACTTGCCCGCATTCCTTGTTCGATCGATTTTGCGCAACTCATTAGCCCTAAATCAAAAAAAGTTAAAGCATAACACATGAAATATAGCTCAAATTAACACCTACATTTTTGGCCCACGGACTTCTGAAAACTCGCAATAGAAGATTGGAACTTTGGCAGTTTTCGTCTTCATTTCAAGATGATTATCTGAGAAGAAAAATTCGTGAAGCATCAGCGGATCGTGCAAGTTGATGGCAGTCTAAACTTGCTGTAGATTAAAAGCGTAAAAACTCCATACATCTAGATGTCCGCCTTCATACTCGTAATTGTAGCGGCAATCGATAAGTACATACCAATCACTAAATAGTTGAGATGAGCGCTAAATATAAAAATCTACCTAAATGATTGATCCGATCTTTTGAATTCTTGCCATAATGTCTCACGAGAAATAAAACGGAAAGCTTGAGAAATGACAGGCGAAATAATAGGCAACTTGTATACCTAAAGAAAAATGACTTTAAAATCTTAGCTTCAAAAACTTACAACTTCCAAAATGCAGGGAAGGGCCTGTTTTGGGGAATTGGTTGAAAACTCCCCCTTCTCAATAGATCCGGTAGACAGTTGCCGCAACGCTGACTTTCCTAAATCTGATTTACGAAAGCCAATTCGGAAAGTGCGTACTGTCATAGTGCTCGTCAGGCAAAGAGGTGCTTAATCGCTGTTGCTTTCCTTCAACTGGCTGATCCCATAAATCTTCCGCTCCTTTGAGAAGGTCCGAGCATCGCTTTTGACCAGAGAATGTGTGCGCATGATGAATTGAGAGTCTCGGTCGTGCCTTCTCCGTCCCGAAGTACAGACGCACCGATTCGCAATCTTCCTTCAGTGATGGGCTTCTCTAAATTCCAAATTTTGCCATTTTTCAAAAAAGTTAAGCTCACTTGTCCACTTGTTGTTTCGCAACGTGCCTTCTCCACAGTTTCTTTTGCAAAAAGGCGCATAGACCTTGTCTAAACTTTGAGTTTTAAAAGTAAAGGAAAGCCGTTTAACTCGTCGAACGGGTGTTTGTCCATAGATCGAATCGTTGCTGCTTCCAGTTTCATCGAGATTGCAGTGATCAAAAGATGGGCGACTCTAAAAAAACGGTTGCAAAGCATAAACATAAGATCCCTAAACCTTCACTTTTCTTATTCCCAATGGCTCGTCATCGCTTGATAACCCGGAGTCGTAGTGCTTTGCCTCCTTGGCCGTCGGAGTTTCTTCGCCATTTGGCCGCATCCTAAAGTGCACATATAATAGGCGATTATTAAAAGTGAAACGAAACAATGCTCAACCATGGTTTAGTGTCCGATTAAAACTAGGCCAAAAGTCAAAGTGACTGCTTTGTAAAGCTAAAGTCTTTCTCTCCCCTTACTTTCTATAAATGAAAATTTCCCCAGAAAACTTTCATTTTATAATCAAGCCTAGACATTGCTTAATTGAATATCCGTAAAACTTACCGTATACTCGGCGAAAATTTAGCTCCACTTCATTTTCATTTTTCTATCGGGTTAAAGAATGTTTTGGCGGATTGGGGAAATTCATTATTAGTGCATTTCATGTAAGACCCCTTATCTTTATCGCTTTCAAGTTCGCGCGGTGCTGGGTTGTCGCGTGTAATAAACGTACTTCGCACAAGGCCTACTCACAAATCTTATTTTCCTTAGTCCTAAATTTCTGATTTTACTTTTTTTGACCCTTACTTTTGAAAAACACTTACAATTTCACAATTTTACGAGTAATTAAGTCAATCAAAGGGAAGAATGGTGCCTTGAAACAATTCATGTTGTTTTTGCGTGCACTTCTTGCTTTTGCGGTGATTCTTGCGTGTTCAGGCGAGTGTTTTGTTGAATTTGGGGGAAACTGCAAAAAAAATAAAGAACAAAATAAAGAACATACCTTCCTGCGGAGAAATTCGAGTGAGTAATAAAGTTTGCGCTCAAGTTTAGGCCCCTGCAATCTTAGCTTTTGATTTTGTATGCAAAGTAGCATCTGTATTTAAATAGATCACCCAATCTCGCTTGACTTCTTTTCTATTTCTTTTCGTTTCAATGTACTTTCAACAATATTTCATGTTTTTAGGTAATGCCGCCAAAAACGGCAAAGAAAGCCGATCCGAAAGGAGGCAAGGCGCCCAAAAAGAAGGAAGGCGGAGGAGGAGGAAAGGCCAAGAAGAAGAAGTGGTCCAAGGGAAAAGTCAGGGATAAACTCAACAACATGGTGCTCTTCGATCAAGCCACCTACGACAAACTATACAAAGAGGTAAAGCTCATTTTTGGAACTAAATTGGGTAATCGATACTAAAGCACCTAAATTGAGAAGTAAGGACATACTTTTTGGGTAGCATGCTGAGTCAGCAGGTGTAGATTTTATCTCAAATCTTATCATCATGAAGCGTTTGAAGTTTACGTGTTTAAAGAAATTATGACAGGTTCAACATTGGGCACAATTTTAGTTTGGGAACCACTGGGCTATTATGATCTTTTAGTTCTAGAAGTTCTTGCTTCTGAGGCATCATTTACATTACATCTACATTGAATAGAAAGCTTGTCAATGATTACTTAACGTTTACTTTAGTTTTTAATTTAGATAACAACGGGCAAGCTCATCACCCCCTCGACAGTTTCTGAGCGATTGAAAGTGAGAGCATCTCTCGCCAAAGCCGGACTTCGGGAACTTCAAGCCAAGGGTCTCATCAAGTGCGTCGTCAAACACGGAAGTCAACTAGGTATAAATTATTAGTATTACATAAATTATCCTTTAACTTTAGTTTACACCAGAGCGACAAAAGCCGACGAAGTTGTTGTTGAATGATGTATGTGATCTTGTTATTTTTGTCTTAAATAAATTTTAATGGAAAATTCTACACTGCAACCAAAAATGCAAAAAGCGGGGTTATTCTACTAAGAGCAATTCTACTTGTCACACAAAACAGGGATTTTGAATCGGTGCTGTCGTTTTTTTTTGGCATGAGTTCAAAGGATGTCTACTCTTCGCTATCGAGTTATCTTTGTCGAAAGTTGTTGAAAGTTGAAAAAGAGCTTAATGACGGCATTGTGTGTTTGGGAGCAACTCGCCCCCATCCTTCCGCCTTCCCAATTGCCACCCTATTTCAAAAGAGCTTCCGACAGTATTCCTCTGTTTGCCAAAATCAGTTGCAATCCCCAAAATTGTTTTTCTAAAGGATGATGTGACTTGGGCACAAACAATGCCCATCGTTTGGGGAAGGCTTTATTGATGCTCTTTGAAAAGATGGATTAATGCTCGAAAATGTCTAATCCAAATGTTCTCTGTTTCAGGAGTTTCATTTTTATGAGTTTTGTAATGGTTCTCAAAAAGATGACTTCGCGAACTAATCCAGCAAAGAAAAATTTAAAATCTGTTTCAAAGCCATCTGTTGTAGTCAGTTTGACGCGAGATCAATGCATGGTCGTCAAAGCGTTTTCTCATGATGTGACCCAACAGTTGACGTGTAATAGCTAGAAATCTATAGTTACTAAAAAGAGCATCTTTTTCTACGAGTTTGTTCTCTGAAAGACCAAAGAGGCGGATGGATGGCCACGCCTATTCTGGAGCACAAAAAAGAAGAAAGAGAATGAAAATCTTGGGGTGGTGTAGACTCTGGACT